ATCTGTCTGTAAATCCAGTTCAAGAGAATCTGACATCATTATACCAATGTGCATGAAATAAAGTTAAATAAAGTTTAAAAAAAATGGTGGGACAACAGCACCCTTTCAAGATAATCTTTTCTTGGGGGTGGGGGTGGGGTGGAGGTAAGGGGAGGTGGGGAGAGAGAAGTGAGAAGGGGAGGATGGGGAGAGGGGTAAGGGGAGGTGGGGAGAGAGAAGTGAGAAGGGAAGGATGGGGAGAGCTTGGGGGAATGGGACGGTTGGGATGGAGAAAGAGTGGATATGGGAGCAGGGAAGTATAGATCTTAATTAAGAGAGCCATTTTAGGGTTGGTAAGAGACTGGACTCTAGAGGGGTTCCCAGGTGTTGAAGGAGATGTCCCCAGCTTGTTCCCTGAGCAGCTGAGGAGAGGGAGCCTGAACTGGCCTTGTCCTATAGCCACACTGATGAATATCTTGCATATCACCATGGAACCCTCATCTGGCGATGAATGGAGATATTCAGAGACCCACATTGGAACACTGGACTGAGCTCCCAAGGTCCTTATGAGGAGCAGAAGGAGAGAGAACATGAGCAAGGAAGTCAGGACCTCGAGGGGTTCATCCACCCACTGCGACGGTGGGGCTAATCTAATGGGAACTCACCAAGACCAGCTAGACTGGGACTGATGGAGCATGTGATCAAACCAGATTCTCTGAACGTGGCTGACAAGGAGGGCTGACTGAGAAGCCAAGGACAATGGCACTGGGTTTTGATTCTACTGCATGTACTGGCTTTGTGAGAACCTAGTCTGTTTGGATGCTCACCTTCCTAGACCTGAATGGAGGGGGGAGGACCTTAGACTTCCTACAGGGCAGGGAACCCTGACTGCTCTTTGGACTGGAGAGGGAGGGGGAGGAAGAGTGGGGAAAGGGGGAAGGAATGGGAGGAGGAGAGGTGAAAATTTTTAATAATCATAATAAATAAAAATTAAAAAAAGATGATCTTTTCTATTTTTTTACTCTGAAAGAAGACAGCTAGATACTTTTAAAATATAAGGGAAATAGTGGGTGCCACCATTTCCTACCTGGGATTAGTGAGCTCAGTTTGTACTTTAAAGCAGTTTAATAATAAAATTTCCAAAGTGATGAAAAGTAACTGAGAAACTCTACAGGAATTGAAATATGGGGTGTGCACAACTGTAAGCATGGTGCTGTGCAGTGGGGGAGAGCAGGTGAGGGAGGACTGAGCTAGACACAGGGTGGGGGACAACTGCAGGCACAGATTCAGGAGGCTGAAGCAGACATGGAGGACTTGAGTCTGTGCCAAAAATTAAAACAGATTGGGCACACAAAAAGACCGTAATGTATTTCAACTTCAAAAGAAAGCCTGCCGTGCTAGAACATGCTTACATAGATTACACAGGAGCCACTCACACAAGTGTGCAGTCTATTGGACTCGACCTAAAGTACCAACCAAAACCAAAATGGAGCTGCCTCAAAAAGCTTTTGTTTCATAAACCTGATTTTCTTTTTTGGTGATTTTGAGACCAGGTTTTACTATGTAGTTTTGGCTATCCTGGAACTCATTTTGTAGATCAGTCTGGCCTTGAACTCAGAGACCTACCTGGCTCTGCTTCCCAAGTGGTGGAATTCAATGTGTGCGCCACCATGCCCTGACTGCTTATGAAGTGATTTTCATGGTAAACACTCAAGGCTGAACTAGAAAACCCCCAGTGGAGGCTCCCTGGAGCTGCAAGGCTCCATCACAGCTTGACGTAAACTGCAGCACCAGACTCTGACAATTATTTTGTAACATATTTGTCACTAGAATTCCCGGTGATGACACACACAGAATGACTCTCTAAAATCTGTGGTAATTAATTCTCTTCTTGCTGGTTTATCATGCTGCATAGGTTTACTTTATCTTAATGCAATGTTGTGTAACTTCCACTAAAAGGTATACTAGGATGTGTTATTTAAAAGAATTCTATTTCTATCTGCAAAAAGAAAAGCTACCCTAAAATTTACACCTGACAAGATTATCTTTCCAAAGAATCATCTCATGCTCTCTATTTTATTTCTTTATTTACTTTTGGTTTTACAAGACAGTGTTTCACTGTAGCTTTGGAGTCTGTCCTGGAACTTGCTCTTGTAGACCAGGCTGGCCTTGAACTCAGAGATCTGCCTACCTCTGCCTCCTGAGTGCTGGGATTGAAGGCGTGCACCACTACTGCCTGGTTGATGCTCTCCATTTTAAACCTAACTGACTTTCACGCGGTGTTTGTTTATAGTAAATAACCTGGTTGGCATCATTTCTATTAAAATTCCACCTCTGGAAAAAAGAATGGAGAACTACAGAGTGTCCTTCTGAAAATCCACATTCCTGGGAATGTTTAGTGAAATTATTCTTGCAATCAATAACTTTAATGACTGCTACATACCTTGGACTTGAGGGAACCTCCCCAATTTTCATCCACAGACTTCAAGGATAGCTCCAGCATACAGCTGTAAAATGCAAACCAGAAAACGTATAAACCGAAGCAGCCTTACAGAGCTAGAGTTCAGGGAGAGAGCACTGGCCAAGCATGTGCAGACTTTGGGGTTTCGTCTCAGGCACGGCTGTACAGAAGCACCACAGCGTAAGATCTATAGAACCCCTGCCAAAAATGACAGAGCACAAAAGACCAAACTAACGATGACGGGCCCCAATAATCAATGGTTTCCGCTACCCATGCCAATTGCAATTTGAGAATAGAAATGCAAAATTCCAGAAATAAATGTTCAAATTAAGTATGTTCAGGCAACATACTAAAATATTACACTAGGGGCTAGAGAGATGGCTCAGAGGTTAAGAACATTGCCTGCTCTTCCAAAGGTCCTGAGTTCAATTCCCAGCAACCACATGGTGGCTCACAACCATCTGTAATGGGGTCTGGTGCCCTCTTCTGGCCTGCAGGCATACACACAGACAGAATATTGCATACATAATAAATAAATAAATATTAAAAAAATTACTCTGTCCTGTAGAGAACATGAAATTGCTTTTCTGGCGTATCCATCTACATATGCTACCATAAGTCACTTAGTAGCTGTCTAAAATACAGAGTTCCACAAACTTAAATTCAAATAATCCATGTTCAAGAAGAAGGTAATTGAGCCGGGCAGTGGTGGTGCACACCTTTAATCCCAGCACTTGGGAGGCAGAGACAGGCGAATCTCTGATTTCGAGGCCAGCCTGGTCCACAAAAACCCTGTCTGCAAAGACCAAAGAATAATGTTACTGGTAATTCAGACACGCCTCTGCATTTCTACACTAGTGAATTCCACTACACACCATGTACTGAGTGGCAGAGGAGCTTCAACTGTCCCAAGGATGAACTGAGGCAGCAAGGGGACTCACACAAATCATTTTCTCTGATGAAATCCAAGTAAAACACTTAGCAGTCGGCACTGCTTGTGCGGCTACAGAAGCTGCACATTCTCTTTGGAGTGAAAACTCACCATAAAAACTTGAATATAAATCAGTGCCGTGAATTCAGGCATGACACATCCAATGGTAAAGATCACTCTCTCTCTCTCTCTTTTTTTTTTGTAGCAGCCAAAGCCTAACTATTATTTTCTAAGATTTATTTTTTTTGTGCATAAGTGTTTTATCTAGTTTTATGTCAATTTGACATAAGCTAGATTAATTCTGGAAGAACTTTATCTAAGGAAATGTCCCCATCAGACTGTCCTGCAGGCAAATCTGTGATACAATTTCTTGAAGACTAATGTGGGAGGGCCCAGTTCACTATGGGCAGTGCTACTCTTGGCCTGGTAATTTTGGGTACTATAGGAAGGCAGGCTAAGCAAGCCACTAGAAGCAAGCCAGTAAGCAGCAGTATGGTCTCTGCATCAGTTCCTGTTTGCACGTTCCTGCCCTAACTTTCTTCAGTGATGAGCTGTGGTATGAAGTCTAAGCAAAATAAATCCTTTGCTACACAAGTTGCTTTTGGTTGTGGTGTCCTAACACAATAAGAGAAACTCTAATAAGACAGCTGGCATGGATGTATATATACCATGTATGTGCCTGGTATTCTCAGAGGTCAGAAGAGGGCATCAGATTCCTAGGACTGAAGGTATAGATGGTCATGAGCCATCATGTAGATGCTGGGAATTGAACCTGGAGCCTCTGCAAGAGCATAAGTGCTTGTAAGCACTGAGCATCTCTCCAGCATCCACATGACTATTCTTCTCATAGGCAAGGCCCTAAAAGAAGGGCAGCAAAGTTAAGGAGATAATACATTCATTTTATTTCTTCTTAGTCTGTAGATTTATTTTTTGATGGCCATCTAAGAATCAAACGTGGATTTTACTTTTAAGGTTCTAAACCAGTATTTTTTTAATTTTTAAAAAAGAAATAAATCATGTACATCAACGTTTACTTAAAATATTTCATAAAATACAGAAAAGTAAAAAGTAGAAATATGATAATCACCTGTGTTTGAGACAACAAAAGATAATTTTTGTGATTCTGGTCCATATTAAGGGTTCTTGCGGGGATTGGAGGTGGCTCAGTGATTAAGAGCAGTGCCTGCTCTTCCAGAGGTCCTGAGTTCAATTCCCAGCACGTACACTGTGGCTCACAACCATCTATAATAGGCTACCCTTTTCTGGCATGCAGATATATATGCAGAACACTCACACAAAACACGCCCCCCCCACCACTCTAAGCACTTAGTATTTTTCCAGTTACAATAACTATGGCAATAAACACAACAGTAACAAACCTTGAAATAAACTAATTATTTAAGCAATGCTAAACTAAGTTCTAAATTTTCATACCACAAAAGAGTTGACGTTATAAAATCAAACAGGGATGAGAAATCTGCCTTGTGTGATCCTCTACTAACAGGACAAAAACTCAGAATGTTGAGAAGAGGCTTGAGACGACAAGGGAACTACATCCCCTACGATATTAAATCACGGGAGCACAGGCACAGGCTGCTGCACCTCCTTTGTTGTTTGCTTTCTTTTTCCAGACGGTTCTTACTAATGAATTGAGCATTACATTTTCAAATCTTTGCAATGGCCCCAGACCACAGAAGACATTCTTTAGGCTTCAGCTCGAAACCAACATTTAGCACTGTTGGCCATGATTCAGGGCCAGAATTGGCTTTTTGAATATGTCTACTGACTTTGGAAAATTTACCCTCCCCCAATTTATTAACTAATTGATTTTCTAAATCGACATTCATATTTCTGGGGAGTCTTGTGATGTACACACACACACACACACACACACACACACACACTCTCTCTCTCTCTCTCTCTCTCTCTCTCTCTCTCTCTCTCACTCTATGGTGCTCAGCTCAGGGCAGTTGTCTCTACCTCCTCAGATATTCATCATTTTCTATGGCGAAAAAAAAAAACCCCTTCTATTTTGTCAAAAGGTAAAATGTCAGCTGTAAAGTTTAATTTTTTAAAGTTAAAAAAAACACAACAGTACCACTGTATCCGCTCTATATTAAGTAATTAAGCTCTGATTTTTGTTCTCCTAAAGTACAAATTTTACTCCTATAAAAATCTTTAAGTGCCAGGCGGTGGTGGCGCATGTCTTTAATCCCAGCACTTGGGAGGCAGAGGCAGGCGGATCTCTTTGAGTTCTAGGCCAGCCTGGTCTACAAGAGCTAGTTCCAGGACAGGCACCAAAGCTACAGAGAAACTCTGTCTCGAAGAAACAAAACAAAACAAAAATCTTTAAAACATCAATTTAATGAGTATGACCATAACCATGATGCATTAGTAATAATGAATAAAATACTGCTCGGGGAACAAAAGACCCCTTACAAACAATCTCCCCTGTGTCCTCCATTCCTCCTCCTCTTTCTTCTGCACATGATGCACTAAGTCCACACTGCCGAGACCACCATTCCCAACGCAAGGATAACTTTTTATAACCTTTCACATGATGGAAACAGATATCTTGCAAAACCAAAAGTTAGCAAAACACAGACAACTAAGACCCAGGGAAAATATTTTCCCTAAACCATGTTTACTCATGGACTGTTTTAAATTTACTGCACTGTTCAGTCCAAGATTTTCCGATTTTTTTTAGTACGCTGGAAAGAAGTTCATCATATGTGGACGAATAATGAAGGCACTATTCTGAAATGTAAGAGAAACTCTTTATCAAGACTGTATACTTATGACACACTAAACACACTAAAAACTACATCTGTTGACACAGATCAAGGGAGAGAACCTGGGCTGTCTGTCACCTTAGTAAACTAAGTTGGTAAACAGACTTCCATACCTTTAGATTAACTATGTGCATTTTTATTATCTGCTGGTCCTTTCTGTTTAAGAACACTGTGGTATTTAAAGCACTCTACACCAAACAGACTTGTCTTTCTGTGTCTTCAGCCCTGAAAGGAGAGTGAGAAGCTAACATTTACCTCAAGATAGCTCCAAAGGAGGGATCGTTCTAAACAAGAAAATCAATACTCCACTAAAAAGCTCAATAAAAATAACATAAAATGTTTCCTCACCATTACATTTTAGCCAGGAAAGCTATGGAGGAAGGGACTAGGTTCCCTTCCTACTGTGATGAGTAGGATCTGTGGAAACAATGGACAGAATTTGCCTGTAAATGCCAGGAGTGTCATTCTAACTCACTGCCCCAGCCTGAGGGTAATGTAGACTTGGCTAAGGAGGTGAGAAAAGACAACCTACAGTGCGGGTGTGGGACTGCAAGAAAAGGAGACCAGGTGAGCGCCAGCACCATTCCATCAGCTTGCTGACTTCTCAGCTCTGTGGGCATGACTTCACCACGACAGACCATAGACTACATTCAAACTGGGATCTAAACAAGCCCTTCTTCCCAGAATGCCCTTGTCAGGGAAGATCACTGTCACAGCAGGGCTTTTAGGTAGAGCTCACATTTACAGTCACGCCTCCTATAAAAACTCCAGCTTAGCACGTCTAAGTGCTCTAAGGTTTCATCCACATCAGTGTGTTCAATCCTCCTCACGTTCCCCAGGACAAAAAGTAACTTGAGAGAAGGGGAATATGGTCACTCTACTTGCCTGAGCTCAAAACTACAGAAGCATCAGCACATGTGGTCTGGAGCTTGGACATCTAAGCAGTTTTTCAGCGACACTAGCTAGCTTGGCAATAGGCTAAACTATTTTAGAGAATGGTAAATCATTCTCCACATCACATGCAATAAGAAAAAGAAATGACTCTTGGCTCCTAACATTTGAAAAATACAACCTATTTCCCATTAACTTGAAGAATTGAAAATCAGTTGAGATGATTCAAAATTCAAATATTCAGTTGCCTTGAAAAGCGAACCTGAAGCTATAGTCTACAGCAGCAAAAGCTGTGTGAAGAAAAACCCCACTTCTGTGTGCTGTCACCTTCCCCAGAGTAAACCCCGTTCCCATCTAAAGAGACAGCCTATCAGGAAGGGCACCTGTACCTGAAACAAAGCAACACCCAGCAGGTGTGCTGCGTTCACAGCTTCCCTCACACTAAAAACCATTTTTTAAAAAAAGAAACCAATGCATCTGACATCATATTAAAAACAAACAAACAAACAAACAACACAGTATAAAAAGAAGATAAGAAATCAAAAGCCAACAGTATCTCATCCTCCACAAGACACATTTAAACAGTCTGCTGTTGGTTCCCCACTGGCTAATTCCACATGGCTGTATCCACAGAAGAACTATGTTACCAACCACCGGGTTGAGGCTCTTCAGTAGCTGGGATCCCTTGGCATGTGAGAGACCTACCAACTTCCTTCTTCTTTTAGTATTTATTTTTAGTAATATTTTATTTCTGTTTTCTTTTTAGTGGTTATCACCTTAAATTCAGATACTATGTTTCAGCCCAGTTACACAAGTCCAATATCTTCTATTCCTTACTGTTCTAGGAGTTTATTTTGGCACCCACAGAGCCCACTTCAAGGAGAAACACTTAGCATGTAAATGCAAAGGTAATTAGGAGCCTAAGAGTCTATGTAGTTGTGCTTGGGAAAGGCAGATTTAATTACTTCAAAGCAGCAGTTCTCAATCTGTGGGTAGTACGACCCTTTTAGGGGTTGACTGACCCTTTTACAGAGGTCGCATATCACAGCGCCTACGTATCAGATATTTACGTTATGATTCATAACAGTAAAATTACAGTTATGAAGTAGCAATAAAAATACTTGTATGGTTGGGGTCAGCACTCCAGAGGAGCTGTATTAAAGGTTCGCAGCATTAGGAAGGGTGAGAGCACTGTTGTAAGGGTTTACTCTTCTTAGATAGCATAAGCTACAGCTATGACAGAATGTTTCAATGGTTTGCTGAGAGAGCTGATGCTAATTTATGAAGCTCTTAAAGGCCGCATCAACTTTCCATATTAAAGGCAAGTGTAAAAACACGTATTTTCAGTTCAAATAAATAGCTATAAAATAAACTTCAAAAGCTTGATGAACACACACACACGAACATTAGAGCTCTAATTAGCTCTGTGATCTTAGACAGGATGTTACTACCTAGGTGTCAACTATGAAGTAAAAAACTACTAGTGTGATAGTGATTATGAAGACATTATAGAAATCACTTTGCTTCAAGTATTTTGAGATGGGGTCTCAGTACAGAGACCTGATTGGCTTAGAACTTGCTATGTAGATTAGACTGGGTTTGAACTCAAATTCCCTGCCTCTGTGCCTCCACTGCCTACAACTTAAAATTCTTGGAAGAGTGCTTTCATAGACTAACAAGTTAGCAGATACAGTGGTCATTATTACAAGTTCTTATAATCTACTTGTACCACTAGTTAGTACTGTTACACAAGAGGTGGTTTTAGTAATGGTCACACCGGATCTGCACTGTTGCCAAGCATTACTTATATGTAAAACCCCTTTGAGAAGAACGCTTTTATGTCACACTAAGAATCATGTTCTGATTTTGTTTCCTTTGAAGAAATCAGTTTCTGTAGAGACTCTGGATGCTAGAAAAGCAACGCTATTTTAAGCAGCATGAAATTTCTTTAGTGACTACAATGTCATGCACAGTTAGCACAGCTTCCTCTCCAGCCTTCTGTGTTTTACACAGTAGCAACACTGTGTCTCTGGCAGGTTAGTGTTTAAGCTTGATACCTAGACAATGCTGCTCAAGTGGACTTCTGAATCATGCTGAAATTGGCTACAGCTTATATTTCTTTAAAATTTAAAATAATTATGGGGGAAGGGAGAGAGGAATCTGTGGTTGGGATATATATATATATATGAATAAAAAATTATTTTAATGCCCCATTTTTTCAAGTTAATAAAAATTAACTTGATTTTTATTTATTATTAAAATAAATTTATTTTATTTATTATAAAATTTATTTTTATAATATTTAAAATTATAATTATTTAAATTTAAATAAAATTTATTTTATTTTATTATTAAAAAATAATAAAAATTATGTCACTTATTTTTTTCAAAATCACCAAATTAACAGGAGTTATAGTCTGTGGGTAAACAGAAAGATAAAGATTTGATAATTTTAAATAAATAGTAGTAAAGGAATTCTATTAGTTGTTCTTGCATACTGAACTGAAGGTCCAACAGATAGAGACCTTAAGCAGGCCATTCAGACCTTTCATGTTTAAGTCATTCGATTTTTACATAAACTTTGTATAGAAGGAATTACTGTCAACATTTTCAAGATGATATCGAACAGTATTGTGGTTTAGAACTTTGGGCTCAGCGGTCCAGCTGACACCTAAATAAACACCCCACTTTGGGCAGGCCGCGCTCCAATGTTTGTTTTGTTAAAGACTGACTTCCACAGCAATGGTGTGAAGACAGTATTCTAGCAGTACCACCCCAAACCTTCATATCTTTCTTGCAAGGTCTTAGGTGATAAAATGATTAAAAGGTCAAATTATACTATATTCTTCACTAAAATCAATCACTGGCAGGACTGAAAGCACTGAACTCTAGGATGTGGTTTGATATCATTTACACACATTCTGTTCCACATGGCAGGAGGTACCGAGCTCTTTGTGCTCAGATAAGAACTAAGGGAACCCGAACAGTCAACTACACAAGGTTGTTGCCTCAAAGGAATAACCTGCTATCTACCCAGAAGGTGGACACAGTTAACAGCCTTGTGATCCTGTTGTGC